AGTTATCATGAGAATAGGTCTGTTATAAAAGCCAGTTTGACATGCTCTTGCCCTCTCTCGCCATGTGACATCCTCCCCCCATGTTACAAAGCAGCAGAACGCCCTCACCAGAAGCCAAGCAGATGCTGGTGCCATGCCCTTCGACTTCTCAGCCTCTAAACTGTAAGAAATAAATTTCTTTTCTTTATAAATTACCCAGTCTCAGGCACTCTGTCATAGCAACAGAAGACAAACTAAAACAGTCATCTAGTTTTATTTAATCCTCAAAACAACACTAAGAGGTAGGTACTTTTATTACCTTTTTCCATAGATAAGGAAATAGAGTAACGGAGAAGTTAAGAAACTTGTCTAAGTTTTCACCCAGTAAGTGGCAGAGCCAGAATCTGAACTCAGATAGTCTGGTTCTAGATGCTGCTTCCTAACGAGTGGGAAATTCTTCTAAAAGTCTCCTGGACTATGTTCACTTGATTTTTCTGTCTCGGGATTTGAAATAAGAATATGATTTGTTTGAGCAATCTATTTGTAGTAGCCAGCTTCTAAGATGGTCCCCAGTGATCCCACCACCTCCTGGTATTCACAGCCTTGTAGTCCTCTTCCACACTGTACCAAGGTTGGTCTGTGTGACCAACAGTATATGGAGAAACAATGGTATTTCACTTCCAAGATTAGGTTATAAAAGATACTGTGGCTTCTGTCTTGGTCACTCTCTCTCTCTTTTATCACTTGCTGTGGCTCTGAGCTGCCATGTCATGAGTAACCTACAGAAAGACCTTCATAGTGAAACTGAAGCCTCCTGACATTAGCCATGTAAGTGAGCTTGCAAGCAGATCCTCCCACCCCCTCAAGGTTTTTTTAGGCTCAGCCAGCATTTTGACTGCAACCTCAGCAAAGACCCTAAGCCAGAACCACCCATCTATACTGCCTGGATTCCTGCCCCTCGGAAACCATAAGATGATAAATATTGTTTTAAATTTCCAAGTTTCAGGGTAATTTGTTACATGGTAAGAAAGTTGGTTATAAAAATTAGGTCATTTTTTTTTTAAAAGATGACCGGTAAGGGGATCTTAACCCTTGACTTGGTGTTGTCAGCACCACGCTCTCCCAAGTGAGCCATGGGCCGGCCCTAAAATTGGGTCATTTGTGTCATACCCAAACTAAAATTGGAGTCAAGGGGCCTGAAGGAAAAAGCACTAGGGGCACATAGCAGCTGCTCCAAGAATTTTCTACAAACTCAGCTGTTGTAACAGCCTGAGGTAACCATAAGACTAGTTTTTTCCTTGTAGCTGCTGAAATAACCTGCCATGACTCTAAGACTAATTTTATCTACCACTGTCACTCACCAATCAAAGCCTGCCAACTCCCCAAAACTTGACTAGTGCCAATGAGCTTTCTTTCAAAACAATAAGTAACTTTCCTCTCTCTAATAAAACTCTCAGACTTTTCTTTATTCTTCGAACATACCAGAGACCATCTTGGTCTGTGTGTGTGTGTCCCGAATTGCAATCCTGTTTTCCCAAATAAAACGTTCTCTTAGAGATTCATCTCTATAATTTTTTGCTTTAACAATAACAATAGATAACTGGTATAGTAATTGTCTAAAACTTCTACACACTTGATTTAAAGCCTATCTAGTCTAATATAGCTCCCTCTAATATTTTATCACAAAATACTAAAAGGGGGTTAGTATGGTTTTATTTGGGAAATTAGGAACTACTGTCAAATCTCTACTTTGATATTGAAGGTCTGTAACCACAATGGTTTCAGAATGAAGTGATTCTCAGACTGCTACTTGTCATTTCCTTGTCACTTAATAGAGCCACAGGGCTGTAATACTCGCTCCTTTTGCTTTGGACTTTTCTCTAGTATGTATATAGTATCTATGTATATGTATATATCAGTTGATCTATTGATCAAGTAATATGATATCCAGTAAAATACAGATCTTTTTATTTTATTTTTTATTGGTTATGAATATTTGTGGGGTACAAAGCAAACTGTCACCACTCATGCCTAAGATATGATGGCCAGATCCATACTGGCAGCATGCCCATTACCACAAATTGTGATTATACCCCATGTCCCCCACCCAATTATCCCTCCAATTATCCCCAACTTCTCTCCCCATCCCCTTTTCCCCACTCCACTTTGTATCCCTAGGTATGTTCTCTCCTTCTGCAAGTCCAACGCACCACTGTGGTCTTTCTTTCCTTCCTTCTCTCTCTCTTAGCTCCCACTTATGAGTGAGTACATGTGGTATTTTTCCCTCTGTGCTTTGCTTATTTCACTCAACATAAGTTTCTCCAAGATCATTCATGTTATTGCAAATGGGAGAATTTCACTCTTTTTCATGGCAGAGTAGTATTACATGGTGTATATATGCCACATCTTCCTTACCCAATCATTCATCGATGGATATTTAGGTTGGTTCCATATCTTGGCTATTGAGAACAGAGCTGCAGTGAACATGGGAGTGCAGGTATCCCTTCGACATGATGATTTCCATTCCTTTGGGTATATACCCAGAAGTGGGATTGCTGGATCGTATGGAAGATCTATCTGTAGTTGTTTGAGAAACTTCCATTACTTTTTTCCATAGTTATTGTACTGATTTACAGTCCCACCAACAGTGTAGGAGCATTCCTTTTTCTCCACATCCTCTCCAACATTTGTTATTCTCTGTCTTTTTTATTATAGCCAGTCTAACTGGGGTGAGATGATAGCTTAATGTGGTTTTAATTTACATTTCCCTGATGACTAGTGATGTTGAGCATTTTTTCATGTACCTTATTGGCCATTTGTATGTCTTCCTTTGAAAAATGTCTATTCAGTTCCTTTGCCCATTTTTTAATTGGGTTATTTGTTTTTTGTTTGTTTGTTTGTTTTTTCCTTTTTTTGTCTTTTTCCGTGTCCGGCAACGGATTGCAACCCTCAGTGTCGCCCCCATACCGGACCAGGACCAGCAACGGGATCGCAACCCTCGGTGTTGCTCCCGCGCCTCGCTCAGCCAGTGAGCGGGAACCGGTCTGTATGTGGGATCCGAACCCCCGGCGGGAGCGCCGCCGCGCTTCCCAAGCGGCGCACTATAGCAGTGCGCCACCGGGCCGGCCTGGGTTATTTGTTTTTTCCGGGTTATTTGTTTTTTTATTGTGTAATTGCTTGAGTTCCTTGTATATTATGGATATTAATCCCTTCAGATCTTTCATTGCTTATAATAATACTAACAGCCAACATGTACCGAGTGCTTACTATGTGCCAGGTGCTATTCTAAGTAATTTACATATATTCACTCATTTATTTTTATTCCCATTTTATGAATGACAGAACTGAGGCATAAAAGGTTAAAGCAGGGCTCTCAATCATTAAATGTCAAAGCTGGGATTTGGACTCAAGTAACTGACCCACTATTAACCACTGTGTTAATACTCTTGTGAGGCAGAAGTTCCAAAAACTCTCAAGAAGACAGAAGGGTTTCAAGGGTTAGTATCCACCAAGTAAGGTGCAAAAGAATTAGGAAATTAAATTTATTTTTCTCCTGATAATTTTCCCCGACACTAGGAGGCTGAACTTGCCAGGAAATTACAAAATATTGCTCTGGGGGCAGAAATCTTTTTTTCTTTCCTCCTCCTTACATAAGCTTTGTTCAGAATGTACTTTGGGGGCTTACACTGGAGCATTTTGTGCCCTTGTTTCTATATCGTCTAGCCAGGCAGCAAAACAAAAAAATTATCCTAAGGTTCTATCTCAGTTATCTTTTTAGTCACACCAGGACTTACAAAGACCTCTTAACTGAAAAGGAGTCCCGACCTACCACCAAAATGCTCATGTGTTATATTTTATGTCTGGGTTAAAGTAATCAGCAAGAGCTTATCTCAGAGGAATTCCTTCCTTCAGAGCAGGGGCAATGCGTGAGGTTTAAGAACCTGGGGCTTAGCATCTGGCAGACCTTTCGCCTCTGAATGTCAGCTCCTCACTTGACATAGAGCCAGTAAGTGGCATTTCTGAGTCTCATATATGTCAGGGAATGACAGGACACAAGCTGATGCACAACAAGTTCCCAGCATGTAGAAGGCGCTCAATAACTGCCTGGTATGGAGTAAGTAAATGCCTGGCATTCGGTAAACAAATCCTTGATACTGACTAAATAAATCCTTGGTATTGACTAAATAAATGCTTGGTACTGAAATTATTAATTCAGTCATAGATCCATGCACAACAATACTGTGCATCATAAACATTTACTCTTGAGCAAGCATCGGTAACTAAAAAACATGTTCAAATTCTAGAAAAGATGCATAACAGGGGTTAATGACCACAGAACAGGTGACAAAGATCAATGTAAGATTACCTTTTAATGTAAATGCGTAGCTCTAGGTGCTGGAACCAGGCATCAGGTGATCCCCACTAATAACATCTTGGTGTTCTGAGACGTGGCACATCCACTTCCTAAATACAGATGATTGCACAGTAGCAAAAACTTCTACATGTTTAGTGTTTTCCTTGTGTATAATTATGTAAACTGTAGACGAAAAATATCCATGGGATTTGTGTGTGTGCGCGCCCGCTCATGCGAACGCGCAACCCGAGATGGTAGTTAAAGCTTGAAAGCTAGCCCAGCCTCTGAAGACTCGCCCTCAGAGGCCCAGCCGAAGTGGATTTACTCCGTCGCAGGACCCGCCAGGCGGGTGGCTTTTCTCCCGTCACAAGCTCTGATGAAAAAGCCAACCTCGGTGCTAGGGACCCAGCCATTCTCCGCCCCGCCCTGCCAAGCAGCCCCGCCCCTCGCCCCGCCCCCACTCGGGCCCCGCCCCAAACAGTACTGCCTGCATCTCCCATGAGCCTCTTCGGCTGTCACTCTCCGGAGGCAAAATGGCGTCTGCACTGCGGCAGCTGCTAAAGTGCGAAGCGCTGTGGGCGGCGGCCATTGGGTCCAGGCGGAGGGTGGGACTTCCGCTCCCTCCGGCGCTCGTCAGTCAGGAGGCAGAAGCACCGCGGGGGCGGGTGGGAAGAGAGTAGTGCGGCCCGGTTGCGCTTGGTTTGCTTGTTTCTAAGTGGTCGCGCCCCTTTGGAGGGACGCGATCAGACTGCGAGGCCCTGGCGGGCTCCCTCGCGTCCCCGGTAAGTAGGACAGCGTGGCGGCGCTGCGGAATGAAGGAATGTGGCCCCGGCGTTGACCTGTCGCGGCCGTCTTTGTTGCCACAGGGCAGCGGCCTCCCCGCTGACCTTGCTACCAGACGTTTCTCGTTCTCCCTTCTTTCCTTCGTTTTGGCCGTACCCCGGACTCAGCCTGCCCTCCACGCCCGCGGGCAGGGATCCTTCCAAGAAGTCAGTCCATCCCTGTCACATACCTGCTTAACGTTCTCCTTCACAAGATGGCTCTGTTGTCCCCCAGTCCTAACCCGCCTTCGCCCGCCCTGGGCATCAGACGCAGGGGACACCTAAGGATTGTTTGAAAACCGGCATCAGTTTTCTAGACCTTGTACCTTTTCTGCCCTCCCTAGAATGCATCACTCATCTCTTCAACAGAACCAGTTCGCTGCCTCTGGGGCTCTATTAACACCTTTTAGAGAGCGCGTTTGAGGGGTTCTGTTTGTTTTTAGTATGGTTGCTTGAATAAGACTATATTTTCCTACTGAATTCGGTCAGGAGTAGGATCTTGCTCATTTTGGGACCTCCCCAGGGCCTAGTAAAAAAGCACGAGGTTTGGAAACAAGCAGCCCGAAGTATTTTTACTAGCTTTGTGACCCTGGGTATGGTCTCCACATCTGTATAATGGTGATAAATAAAGAACTAATTTCAAGCATCTTACACAATGTATGGTGTAGAGTAGGTGCTTGATAAATGTTAGGCTTCTTTCCCTTTTTAGCTTTCAGTGTACACAGTAGTTGCTGGGCACGTTTTCTAAATAAATGGAGAGGTAACATAGTCCTAGCATTGTGATCGTATAAATGCTATCAGTTGGATGATATATTTGGTGGTATTTGGTAAATACAACCTAATGATGTATATTAAAGGCAGAGTAAAGCTAAGTGTTGGTATTAACATCTTCAGGAATAAACAATTACCTTTATCCTCTATTTAGTTAAATGCTTGAGGCCCTTGCAGTTTAAATTTGTGATTTAAGGTCTGTGTGCTTTTCAAATGTATCTTTCTGAAGAGATTAAGAAAGTGCAAACATTTCATCTTAGGAAGGCTAGCTGTTCCTGACAACTTTTAGTTTGCTATTAAAGTGTGGCGCTGGGAGCGCAGCGGCGTCCGAGCGCCAAGGCCGCGGGTTCGGATCCTATATAGGGATGGCCGGTGCGCTCACTGGCAGAGCGCGGTGCGGGCGACACCAAGCCAAGGGTTACCATCCCCTTACCGGTCACAAATAAAATAAAATAAAGTATGGTGCATTTTATATGTGTGTACATGTATTTTCTACAGGTGATTGTAAAGTGCTGACCAGTTGCCACTGGACATCATTGAAACAATAGGAAGATGACAGCAAACCCTTCAGGACAAGGTAATGCATTTTAGAATTTGTTTTATTACTAGGAACTTTGTCACCATTTACTAAATATATTTGAATATGAGAAATTTTAGGATAGGGCAGTCACTGTAACCAGAATTTAAAAAATGAATAGCAAAGTAAAACCCCAAATTTGAAACTGATCCAACAGTGTATCAGATATATCTCATCCTTAATATTATTAATCTTATGTTTTAATCTGTGTTAAGATTATTCGCATTGTAAATTTTTTGTCCTCCTTGACATATGTGTTCTCTTGCTCTTTTACTTGAAATCAGAACCACTTTTAAAGAAGTTATATTATCCTCAGGGGGCCGGCCCATGGCTCACTCGGGAGAGTGTGGTGCTGATAACACCAAGGCCACGGGTTCAGATCCCATATGGGGATGGCCGGTTGGCTCACTGGGTGAGCATGGTGCTGACAACACCAAGTCAAGGGTTAAAATCCCCTTACCGGTCATCTTTTAAAAATATATGTATATGTAGTGTCCTCAGGCAATATCCATGCCTTTATCTTCATTGCTCTAAAAGCTTTTGTACACATTTCATCTGTGTTAAGACCGCTCTAAAGCTAATCAAGGTAGATACATTCACTTATCAAAGAGTTTTTGTTGTAAAATATTTTTAAAAAGCAAAATTTAATCTCTAGAACATATGAAATCGCACTTTGTAAGTAGTTTCCTGCTTAAAAATTTGAAACAAGCCTTTATAGCTTCCTAATCAAGTCTGATCCTGTTTGACTCTATGTATGTTTGACCCATAATATTTTTAGTTACTCATCTCTGTTCTATCTGTTCTGGTATTTTTTATCTTAGTTTTATCTTATCTCAAACTTAATATAAATGGAATCATAAAGTGTGCACTCATCCATATTATACATGAATCAGTAGTTCATTCCTTGTTATTGTGGAATAATATTCCATTGTATGAATATATCACAATTTGTTTATTCATTCTTCTGTTTGTGGGCTTTGAGGTTGTTTCAGTATTGGCTGTTATGAATAAAGCTGCCGTGAGCATTTGTTTATAAGTCTTTTTGTAGACACATTTTTATTTCTCTTGCATAAATACCTAGGAGTGGAGCAGTTGAGTATATGGTTACATCAAACCTTTTTCCAAAGTGGTTGTACTATTTTATATTCCTTCTAGCAATGTGTGAGAGTTCTGATTGTTCCACATTTAGTGTTATCAGTATTATCTTTTTAATGTAGCCATTCTAGGATGTGTGAAGTGACATCTCATTGTAAAATTGTGTTTCCCTGATGATGAATGTACTTATTAGCCATTGTAAATCTTTGTGAAGTGTGTGTTCAGATCTTCTGCTCATTCTTTTTAAAAATTGAGTCATTTCTTTTTATGATCAAGTTTTGCTTGTTTTTCAGTCTGGATTCAAGTCCTTTGACAGATAAATGTTTTGCAAATATTTCTTCCCAGTCTTGTTGCCTTTTCATTTTCTTAATGGTGTTGTTCTTTCTTACTCTATAGGTAATGTGTTATTTTTCTTGGGCTGCTTTCAAGATTCTTTGTATTTCAGCAGTTTGACTATGATATGCCTAGGGATGGTTTTCTTGCTTGGGGTTTTTTTTTCCTTTTTTTTTTTTTGTCTTTTTTACTGACCGGTAACGGGATCGCAACCCTCGGTGTTGCGCCCTCCGTGCTCAGCCAGTGAGCGGGAACCTGTCTCCACATGGGATCCGAACCCTCTGCGGGAGCACTGCCGCGCTCCCGAGCTACGCACTCTCCAGTGCGCCACCGGGCTGGCCCCTTGCTTGGGGTTTGAGTGTTTTGGGATCTATAGGTTGATGTGTTTCACTAAATTTGGGACGTTTTCATGCATTATGCAAAAAAAAATTTTTTTTTTTTTTCCCTTTTTTTGTCACCGGCAACGGATCGCAACCCTCAGTGTCGTGCCCGTACCGGACCGGGACCGGCAACGGGATCACAACCCTCGGTGTTGCCCCTGCACCTCGTTCAGCCAGTGAGTGGCCGGTCTGTATGTGGGATCCGAACCCTCGGCGGGAGCGCCGGCGCGCTCCCAAGGGCCACTGTAGCAGTGCGCCACTGGGCTGGCCCCCCCCCAAAAAAAAAATTTTTTTTTTTGACTTAACCTTTGCTCTTCTTTTGGGACTGCAATTACTCATATATTAGACTACTTGTTATTGCCTTACAGATCTCCTAGGCTTTGCTTATTTTTCCTCAATATTTTTTCTCTTTGTTCTTCAGATTGAAAAATTTCCATGGTCTAACTTCAAGTTTAATGACTGTTCTGCCATCTCCATCTGCTGTTAATTTAATCCAGTGAACATTTTGCTTTAATTATTATACTTTTTTAGCTCTAGAATTTTGGGGTTGTTTCTGTAGTTCATACTTTTCTACTAAATACCCCTTTTAATTATTATGTGTCTATTTTCCTTAAGTTCTTGAACATATTTATAGTAGTCGATTTTAAGTCCTTTACTGCTAATTGCATCATCTTGGTCATCTTGAAGTTGATTTCTTTTGGCTGAATTTTTTTGCATGTGGGTCACATTTTCCTTTTTTTTTTTTCTTTTCCCCCTATAAATAATGATTTGTTATTGGATACTTGACATTATTACTAATACATTGTAGAGACTCTGGATTCTCTTGTATTCTTCTGAAATGTGATTTTTGCTCTAGCAGGCAAAAATTGAAATGGATTTTATATGCATAGATTGGGTTTTATTCCTTCTGCCTTTCCTTCTTATGTTTCTCCCCTAATTTTTTTGCTACTCTGCCAGCTCTGAACTCTGTCCTTGACATCTCAAGCTAGTAAAGTCTATCCAAGCTGTTTGTACATTGGGAAATGCTTCAGGTAAAGGGCTACAAGTTCCCAGATCTCACCAGTTGCAGTTTCTGCCTAATTTGGGTTAATCTCCAGTACCTTCAGATAATGAATTTTTAGTATTTTGTTCAGAATTTGTTATTATATTTATGGCAGGGTTAGTTGAACCACATTACTGCCAGTACTGGAGACTGGAAGCCTGCTGATTCTGTTTTAGTCCATTAGTTGTATTTAGGACTAACTAAAGGTTATACAAGTTTTACAGAAGTTTACTACTGTAAAAAGCTGTGTTGAGGGCTGGCCCGTGGCTCACTCGGTAGAGTGCGGTGCTGATAACAACAAGGCCATGGGTTCGGATCCCATATAGGGATGGCCGGTTCACTCACTGGGAGAGCGTGGTGCTGACAACACAAAGTCAAGGGTTAAGATCCCTTTACCGGTCATCTTTTTTTTAAAAAAAAGCTGTGTTGACAGCTTTACTAGCTATAATCAGCTAATACTGTTCCATTCTTCTCTCAAATAACCATGTATAATTTGTGTGCTCTATGGACTAATCATAGGTCAACATTCCCTTATGCTCATTTACCTCTTCTTTTCACCAGTAAGTTATAAGGGCTCAGATTAAAAATAATTTAGTTTGAGACAAAACGAAAACTAAGAGAAGTCTATTTTGGAAAGAAAATATGCTGCTAAAAATTACACAGTCCAGTCCAAATGGAAATGAGTTTTAAATCATCCCTCTATTCTAATAGCAGAAATAATTGAGATTTACAATTTGCTGGTTACTTTTTTTCAGCAGTTGCAGTAAAATCACAATCATTTTTAGTGTTGCCTTTGATTGATTCACAGTCAAATCCACTATGAAATATATACTAATCTGAATTGAAGTAAATTTAGATTAGTCCTTAGGCTTTTGTTGCTGTTTCTTAGTGATTTTTGTTGGTGTCATAGAACTACTGCTATTAGGTACCACCAGAGGGAGTCCATATCATGTTCTATAGACTCCCAGACTCAGTAAAAATTTAAATTCTTATGTATTCAGATCTATTGTATTATACTCTATATTAAATCATTTCTGTACTGTTTATGTGTAGAAGAATTATTTAATATGGAGATTGAATACCAAGTGCCTTAATTATCTTAAAATGATAACTGAAAGAATTATGATTTTTAAAAAATCTTGATCTGTGCATTGTAATTTATTAATGTCTGTGATGTAGAGGACAAAATTCCTTGTGTTCATGAAGTCCTCTTTCATATCTAGCAGTCTTTCATACTTTAATACTAATCAGGACTGCTAAGTTCCATAAACTCTTGGCAGGCAGTCACTGAAGTCTCATATTCTTCACAGCATATAATGTAGTGTGGAACATTTGGTGGGTTCTCAATAATTATTTGATTAATAAGAAGTAATATTTTGGGCCGGCCCAGTGGCGCACTGGATAGTGTGCCACTTGGGAAGCGCGGCGGCGCTCCCGCCCGAGGGTTCGGATCCCACATACAGACCGGTTCCCGCTCACTGGCTGAGCGAGGCGCGGGAGCAGCACCGAGGGTTGCGGTCCCGTTGCCGGTCCCCGGTCCGGTATGGGGGCAGCACTGAGGGTTGCGATCCGTTGCCAGACACGGAAAAAAGACAAAAAGACAAAAAAAAAAAAAAAGAAGTAATATTTTAAGAATTTTAGTATGTAGGGGCAGATTGTCATACTGGAGTTTGGCCAAGGGACACTCCTGTGTGAAGTAGCACAAAGTATTTCATTATTGGGAAATATAGAGATACTATAATCATGTGATGGCAGTTGAATTGGTTCACCTTGACTTCAGAGACCTGGTGAAATACTGAGTAAGGAGCATGAATTCTTTTCTTTGATATTTTTATTTTATAGTTATCTCAAAATGCTTATAGTAATAACTGTAACACATATAGATCGTCAGGTGGTGGGAACTATTGATTTTGGGCCACTCTGGATATTCTCAGCTGTGACTTCAGAGTGCTGTGTAGGAATGGGATGGCATATCTCCTGGGAGGTGTCTTATTTGACCTCAGACACAAGTGCAGGTGTTAACCTAAACTGTCTATAGTACAGAAGGAAAGCGAATTTATCCTTTAGGCTTATACTAAGATCTGCTACTCTCAATTAAAAGTTTATGCCAGTGATGCATAAAAATTATCTTAAAATTCTTGCATTTGTAC